CAACTTCCTAAAAACGCTTTTATAAACCTTACCTACCTATACAATTGTATCCTTCGAACAACCCACTTTCCTCTGATATGGAAGCACTCCATCATCATCCTTATCCCAAAACCAGGCAAATCTGTCAATGAAACCTCTTCCTACAGACCTATAAGCCTTCTTCCGATCCTCTCAAAAATCCTTCCCAAATGAATTCTACCCTTACTTGAATTCCAAAAAATCCCCTCACATCAATTCGATTTCCGCTCAGAACATTCCACAGTTCAAAAAGGCCTTCGCATTGTTGATAAAATATCCTCCGGACTTGCAAGCAAGCAATATTGCACCGGCGCCTCTTTGGACGTAGCGCAAGCTTTCGACCGGGTGAGGAACGATGGCTTACTTTTCAAACTCAAAATCCATTTACTCCAATCCTTATATCTTACCTTTCCAATCGTTCCTTCCAGGTACGCTGTGACACAGAACTCTTCAACTATTTATTATCCAATAGAACCTGGTGTTCCTCAAGGTAGCGTCTTGGACTCAGTTATCTACATCGTATTGGACTCAGTTCTCTACATCGTCTTCACAGCTACCATCCCTAAAAATCCCAATACTTTCCTGGCAACATTTGCTGATGATACCGCTATCCGTTCCTCCCATTCAGAACCTGAAATGGCATCCCTAAACCTGCAAAGCCACCTTTCCCTAATTGAACAGTGGTGCAAAGATTGGCATATTTAATTAAATTAATCCAAGTGTAAGCATATTACACTCTGACGCAAATCCTGTCCGCCTATATTTTTTAACTCCATTACCTATTAACCATATCTCTTCCCTTCTCAGACACAGTCTGGTACTTGGGCTTCCTTCTAGACAAGAGACTGACATGGAATCCTCATACCAGACTTAAAAGACAAGAACTTAACTGACGATTTGGCCAGCTATATAGACTACTGAACAGAAACTCACATCTTTCACTTGAAAACAAACTACTGATATACAAGACCATACTAAAACCCATCTGGATCTATGGACTCAAACTGTGGAGGAGCTAAATCTTTAAACATCAAACGCATCCAATCCTTTCAATCCAAAGTCCTTCAAACAATAGTCAATGATCCATACTACATCATAAATAAAACTCTACATCACGATCTCAACATCCCATTTGTCCTTGACCTAATTCCATCCAGATTCTCAAACTTCCATCAAAAACTTATCCATCATCCTAATCCCTTAGCACAATCTCTCTCCAGCTCCAACCATCCATATAATCTCCCATGAAGGTTGAAACTGCAATGGCCCCAAGACCTTTTGTAAATACGCTATTGAAGTTCTGGCAGTGGCCTTCTTCGCTAAAGTCCTGAGTGTATGTGACTTTAGCGTTCTCACTCAGCCTCCACTGATTTTCAAACAGTGATGCGAATGGGAGAGAAGAGCTGGGATCTCTTTGAGACCTGCTTTGCCTCTCACATTAGAGTGGCTAAGCATGGTTCAGGGTTCCCTAGGCTGAATGTAAACATTGTATATAGGAATGAATGTGATAAGTAATTTTTGTTTTTTATTGATTATCCTTTTAATGTATTTTTTTTCTTTTTCTTTTTACAATTATTTTATATTTTCGTTATTATTTTATTTTATTATGAATATCTATATATTCATTATATGAATTAAGATTTATATGAATGCACACATAGAGCCTTAATGCCCAATGCCGTTGATTGTGGCAGATTGTATTATTATTATTCCTATAAAAATATTATAAATCAAGACACAGTGCCACAGACCACAAGCGGATCCAGGATTTTATTTTGGGGGCTTCAGCCCGAAATCTTTTTTTTTTTAATATAACGATAATTACTTTGGAAGAAAAAGAAAGAAACTAACTAACTATACGAAATGGTGTTATTTTACATAGACATGGTAATATTTTACCATTTTGGGGTGGGGGGAGGAGAGGCTTCAGCTAGAAAGCCCTGCCCCTCCCGTAGATCCGCCTGTGATGCAGATAAGAACGGAACTGGAAGTAGAAGAAAGAAAGAAAGACTATTTTCCAACTGTCTGTTCCAGTCAACTGCCTCATTATATTCAAGGAATAATCTCCAAATTCTCTAGATTAGGTTCGAACTAGATTTTCAGAACAGAATCTCTCTGTTTAAAACCCAGAGTCCTATTGTGAAGTAATTTGACAGCTAGCCATGATATAGCAACAGTCCATAAAACACAAATGTATATAATTAAAATAATTTTGAAGTAATAAGAAAAACAATCATTGATTATGACTCTTTTTAAAAAAAAAATAACAAGAAAACCATTAAAAATATATTAGGATTTTTGGATGAAATAGTTTCATCCTTATAATTCAACAGTTGTCAACTTACTCATCTCTAAAATAAAAATTTTTTCTGAACTTTAAAACAAATTTATTTTAAGCACTTACTAGTTATGTTGATAAAATATGTTTTATACAAAAGATGTAGTAAATTTTATGTACTTAAATATTGAATATAAACATTAGAGATGGGAAATTCTATTCTTTTAACTGAATCGATTCTCAGAGATACAATTACTGTAATGAATCGATTCTTATAAACGATTCTTCGATTGCTCTTTTCATATTCTGTTATTTCTTTAAATTAAAAAGGAATTTAATATTGAAAAAAAAAACAGTAACAAACATTCTTAAACCTTATGGTTATTCAGGCAAAACATTTTTTTTTCAACTTATTGAAAGCAGAAGTCACAAATATATACAAATAAAAAGTTATGAATCTTATAAATAGGGAGAAAGCTTAAATTTGATAGACAAAATTTTATTTTTAATTATTCTGGGACTTACGACCAATTAGAATGTACAACAAATTATAAATACAAAATAAATAAAAGATAATAGCCATACATTAAATTAAATATTTATATAACAATATATAATTAAAAATAAAGTATAAGAGAAAAAAAACTGTACATATATATAAATATATAAGTACAGAGAGAAAAAAATAATCAAAATAGTAATGTAAATAAGTGTGGGTTATAAATGTCCGAGTACGAAATACTCATGATAAAGTAGATTCGGAAAGGAAACATAACAACCCAACAAACAATGGAACACGATTGGAAGGTTAGCTAGAAAAAAACCGGTGAATCGACTGATCCCTTGTGAATCGGGAAACGCCGATTACTGAGGAATCCAGAATCGCCGATTCCAACTGAATCAGTGAATCGATTCACCGAGTTTGTTCCTGCAAATCTTCCAGCATTTTTGCAGTGTTTGCTGAGTTGTTTTTGTTTACTTTCCGAATCTTATCTACTACTGGCATTCAGCACTTCTACAGTTTTTTGTCTCTTCTACTTTTATTTTTAATTACCTATTATTACATAGATATTTAATTTAACATTTCACACTTCAGATATTTATACGCATATTTGCATTACTATTTTGTTTATTTTTTCTTCATTGTACTTTTATTTTTATTACCTATTATTATTATGTAAATATTTAATTTAACATTTCCATTTTGTTTATTTATTTATACTTTTTCTCTGTTTGGTTTATTTATACATGTATAGAGCTGTTTTTTTTTCTCTTTTGTACCTTAATTTTTAATAATAACAATTAAATCGATTGATTCCGAGTAAATCATGATTCTTTCAGAGGAATTGACTCTTTTATTTGTTTCTCGATCCACCTACCCATCTCTAATAAACATATTCGAGCTATGTGACCTAGAAAAGTAGATCATTAGCTAAAATCATGAAAATATGCATGTTTTTTTTTTTTTGCGATTTCTCAAAACTACACATTTTGGAAGATCAGTAGTTCAATTTCTGTTGTATTTAGAAAAAAAATGTTTTGCACAAAAATATCAACAAATGTTGAGATGTTTAAGATTAAACATTATCATTTTTACCTATTTCTCTTTGGAAAAGAGATATTTAGTGTACACTAAAACAAGTCTAAAATTTCAATGATTTTTGTGGCACTGGTGATTCACATATTTTTCAATGGCGTAAACTAAGATTTTTAATTTTCATCACACACCTAACGATATATAAAAATATTAATTTCAATTACCCGACCTATTGCAAGGTAATATGTCTAATTTAACAGGGAAATGTGCCAATTTTTACATTACGAATTTCCTATTAAAAAGAGGGTGATGTGGTTTGAGCATGTCTTTGAATTTCTGAAGACTGATGGGTTACACACACAGCTGAGGAGAGAAACCAAGGGCCGTGGGAACAAATTATTTTATGAATCTGTCAGATATTAAATTCTGAAACCCAACCCCTTACTATATAATGAATGCAACAAAAACATTAAGTAAAGATATTACCTAATTATTACACAATATATGTAATGTTTTATTTAAAAAATTTTAGAAGGTAAAACCTGGTCTGCTGTGTCCCCTTGCTGTCCACTTACACTTGAAAAAATTGTATCAATTAAAATGATTTTAACTCTGTACACTTTTGTGATTGCTGATTTGGAATGGATATCCAAAATTCAAAATAAATAAAAAAATATTAACATTAAACTATGTTTTTATTTAAGCTGATATTGTTCTAAAATATAGGATTTTTCTTAAAACAATGGTGTTAATACAATTAATCACAATTTATGGCTGTATAAAAAACATTTTTTGTAACAATTATTTTCAATAAGATTATTTTCAAAGCAAAAATATAATATTTGAAAGTTTCATACTCTATAATAATAAACAATGCAAAAAGAACAATTGATTTTTATAATCCAATAGGTTCTTATTTTTAATTTATTCAAAAGATGAATTTTAAGTAGAGCTTACGTATCTATTATTTCATTTTTAATGTAATGAAAGAAATATGTGATTTCTGAACATGTATATAAAAATTATATATCTACTGATTAGATACCAAGGAATATTGCACAATGTACTATTTAATGTAACATGGAACAGGAATAAAATAGAATTTAAGTTCATCATTGCATTGCTGAATATAATATTCAAAAATTAACATGATTGAATAATTTGCATGAAGTAGTCCATCGTACACTATAAGTATTAATTTTTATGGAAAATATAGAAATATTTATAAATTGTCTCAACCCATTAATATACCTCATTTTATAAATTTTCCACTTTGGTTAAGCGTAATATGAAAAAACAATAATAATATAAAAATAAATAAAAACTTTATAAGACAAAATTAAGAGTATTTACATTTAAAATCCAAAAACTAATAAAAACAGAACATGAAAAGTCCTTCAATATTTTTAAAAAATAATAAAAACAAAACATTAAATTAAAAAAATATTAAAGCGACATCAGACCTGCTTGCATAAAAAGCAAGGAGAAAAGCATTAAATAATCTTATTCGCTTTTCCATAAAAAAAGGTTATAACAAAACATTTAAAAACAAAAGAGCTCTTTAAAAAAAAAAAAATGAACACAATTGAAATATCATACATCACCCTCAATCTAAAATTAGATAGATCAATTTTATGATATTATTATTAATTTTTTATTGATTTCATTATACTTTGCCTAAAATTAATATTTATAAAACTTGTATTAAATAACAATATATTACAAATAGACAAAATTTAGTAACAAATTTCTCTTACATAATTATTACTTAGTTTCAATCAATAATTTCATAACCTAATGTACAAAAAGATGAATATTATCAATTTTTTAACATAAAATGCGATTTCATAAATATATATAACACTAAATATTATCTACAGAGTATACATTTCAAAGAGGCCATAAATCGATAACTTAAAAATTCATGCTTCCCATAATTCGCCTGGAAACATTCCCTAGGAGGTACCATCCTGTTACTTCCTTTGTCAAATCATCAACATCGGCTAAGTTAATAGTAGTCCCACCAAGAAATTCATTTTCTTGAAGAGTATCATGGTTCCACACAGTTGCCTGAAGGAATCTTTCCTGTACAATCTCCAATGGCATTCGATATTCCAGCTAATAACAATAATCAACAAAATAAAGTATACATATTTTGTATTATATACGAGTATAGTATTTTTTTTTCTAACAATCATATGATGTACAGTCTTAAATAAACAATAAAAAAATTAATTCAATTTATTTTTGAAGAATTAATGAAGTCTGAAATTCAGAACATAGAATAATAGATAATCATTTTCGGTTCAGTCATTTAGTGATGGAAAGTAGTTGATCCAGGAAAAAATTACTGAAGAATTTTTCTCGACGACTCTATGTATTTTTCGCGGAGCTGAACCTGAAAATCGAGTTATCTACTAGATTCAGATATGGCTTCACCATAAAAATGGTAAAAAAACATAAAATTTCAGAAGTTGTTTCAGTTTTCCACTTATAACTCCGAAATGAAGCATTCGAGAGAAAAATCACCCATATAAAGAAGAAATCTGATAAAATTTCAAGAAAAATAAAACTAGAACAAGCTTGCTATCTTTTTTTGTTTGGTCACTTGCTCCAAACAAAACGCACGGAAGATTTACAACGTCAAAATCATCAAATTAGACCATTCGAATAGTAGTTGGATGGAGAAAAAATTCAAATAGTCAGTTTCTCTTTGATTTATAATGTATTTTGGGAGGCTGAATCTGAATTTGATGTTCCCAAATGAAATTTTATATTGCCTTTCGAGATATATGCAAAAACATCGAAATTTCAAAACGTTTTTTGGATATGACTCCGAAACTATGCATTTAATCGAAATTAATACAACAATGCAAAAGTTAAAGAAAAAAAAAATCTACTATAAATTTTATACATGACTTTTTGATGTAGGACCAAGGGTTGAGGAGTTAGGGCACATTGAGGTTTTGCTTGTTTTACAAGAAATATCTGCTTTCATCAGTTTTTTCCCAAAACTCATAATCTATGGATCTCTCAAAGAAATTCGTTGTAATCTGAACACAAATTCAATTATTTAATTAGGATGGTAAAATTAAAGTAGTGAAATGCATGTCGCACCAGATTTCTTTTTTTTTTTAATTTTTAAGTTTGATTTTTTTATATATTTATTTACAAATGTTTTATTTCTTATGTCTGTCAAAGCAGAATATGTGTTTAGGTGGTCTGCATCCATTTTTGCTTGATCACATAATTTACACCTAGGATCCTCAGCCACGCCTATCTTGTGTAGATGACTTTGTAGATAGTCGTGACTAGTGGCCAGGCGGAAGCAGGCTGCTGCATCTCTTCTTGACAGGTCAGCTGGGATCGGGTTTTTCATCAAGCATTTATAATGTCTTCCTTCCACCTTGTTTCTGTGTATTTTTTTTATTTCCTCCTTCACTACCATCTTCACCATTTGCCAAATTGAATTGTAAGATTTTGGATGAACTGGTTTAGGCAATGCTGCTCCCCTCTTGGCGAGAGGATCATTTCCTATAATCCACTGTAGTACCACATTGGTGCCTCGGAGTGTTAGGTCATAGAGGAGGATTTTGCACTACAAGATAGCACTCGACAGACATTAATTCATGTTAATAACAGCGAGGATTGCTGCTAGAGAGTCGACGAAGAGGACTGATAGAATATTGTTCTTAAGGCTATGAGGATCGCTGCTATCTCACCGTCGAAATTCATAACATCCTCACCCAATGCAGCACTGAACTGAAACTCCCTCGAGTAAACCCCTGCCCCAGCATTTTTGATGGATGATTCAGCTGATCCATCGGTATAAATGTGAAGCCAATCCTGAGGAGGATAGTTTTGAGCTATAGTTTCTAGTGCTATTGTTTTTAGCTCATAGTCTGGTGTATCTTTTTTATCCACCTTATGGAGGAGTTGCAGCTCTACCTTGCTTGTGTGACTGTGGATTGGGAACTGTGCCTGTATAAATGGTTCCCTTTCTCCACAGTCAAGCCCTTTTACTTCAAGCAAAGCCTTCGCCTTTAGCCTGAATAATTCTTGTATCTTGAGCCGTTGAGTTGGGATTTTGTATTTTTTCCAAAACTCTGGGTCCATTCTTCTTATCCACTCGTCAAGACACATTGCAGCTAGCTCATGCCGTTTCGAAAGGGGTTCTGCTGTGGTCTGCAATTCCATAGCTGCAACAGGAGTTGAGTGCAGTACACCCAAAATTAAACACAGTGCTTTGTTCTGCTGGCTGTCCTCTCTTTTCAGGGATGCATTAGCCGCAGTACAGATGACCTCAGAACTGTATTCCAGTACTGGACGTACATAGGTTTTATATGCAAGACCCATCACATCCTGAATGGCCCCCCAATAACAATAATATAAAATAGCCTAAGTTCATAAGACATAGCTGGTTAAATGTAATAAAATAACTTAAAAAATGAAAAAAAAATCTTACCGTCTCCATGAACGATGGATGACAGTTTTTTCGAACAACCTTCGTTTTACGTTTTGTTGCTTTAATAGGATCAGGTAATAAATAAACTTTAACATATGTAGATGGTTCCTGTCCACCTGATAAAGAAGGGAGTTCTCTCACATGATGAACCATAACCTTCATAAAAATAAGAGAAAAAAATTACAGAATTTGTGAAATAAATATTAAAAAAAAAAAAAAAAAAATATATATATATATATATATATATATATATATATATAGAGAGAGAGAGAGAGAGAGAGAGGGAGAGAGAAAAGCAAAAACTCAAAAAGATACACAAATTGTATGTTAGAATATAATTAGAAGAAAGATTACACATTTATCTTAATGATGCCTTAATTGGCAAAACATTTACTGGTATATAGAGAATCAAGGCTTAGTGTTGGGATTCTTCTTTCCATTTATATCCTGAACCTGAATACATTAAAACTCTTAAAAACTTAACATACAAATACCAATTTATCAATGAACTATTTATTTGTAATAAGAACCACTGCACAATGTCGATAAATACTAATCTATTTGATTACCAGAAAAAAAATATATTTAAAGATAATTTCTTTATTCAGAAATTCATTATAATTTAAATTGTGTATCAATTATTTAGGTAAGGCTATGAATCAGTAAGTGGGTGGTAATGACATCTAATAATAATATCAATTATTTAGCAAAAAAAAATCAATTAATAACTTTTAAGAAAAATATTCTATATTATATGAATATTTGCATTTCCATATCATTTTTAGGCTTTCCAAATATTTTTGGGTAATCCATCCCTGGTGAAATGTTTCTTTTAGAACTTGGAAATAAAATAAAATTTTAATGAACTAAAAAGATTTAAAAATCATTATATCAAATTAACAGGAGGAAATAATTTGGTATATTTGATGCCAAGTTTTCTGGCATATAACACAAAAAGCTAAACTCCAACTAAAGAAAATGGGCTAGGTTGGTCTTGATCAGAAAGAAATCAAAATCAAAACAACATATAAGATAAGAAAAGGAAAACAAAAAACATAATAATAAATTGGATCACACACCTAATTTTCATTACAAAAAAAAAAAAAAAATTCTATACTACCCAGGTAAATGAAATGAAAAACAAATAATTATTAAGTAATTTGATGAATATCCAAGTTTAGTGTAATATGCAATAGAAGCTGAATTCTTTACTGAAGTATGTAAATCCATCAAAATAACTTGAATATTTATATCATAAAAAGCTATTGAAGATGAAACAGCAATACACAAAAATGTTAGCTCTAGTATTAATCAAACAGAGATGCAACTGTATTTCTTCTGTATTATCAAAGAAAATAACCAATAAGGATGTTTGCAGTCAGTGTTACTTTATATTTTTTTAACTAGAAGAAAAGGGACAATAGTCAGAAGTCTGAATGGTAGGTTTGATGAACAAACTAAAACACACATTTTAATTAAAACTAAGTAAAACTCACTAACGGAAATAATATATCTACTTACCAGCAGCAATATTTTTTGAAAAATACTATGTACTACTTTATATAAAATAAACAGCATGGAGTTAATTTCATACATCAAGGTCAGAAGCATAAATCTGCAAACCCAAATCATGTTGGTTCACAGATACATAAAAAAAACTTTACTTGTTATATAACAGTTAGAGTGAATGCACCAGTTATGGACAGGGGGCTCAGTGATGGACAGCTTGGACTTTAAATGTAAATAACAAGCTTCCTTGTTGATTTAAAGATTTCATTTTTTTTTTTAGATTGAAGAACAAGGGCCTCTATTGACAACTGTATGAACTAAATTTCCAAAAGAAAATTATTAAATGCTTATCATTGTTGTTTCTATAGTGCTCTTGAGACAAATGTGTTTCATACCTTCCCACTAACAGTTTTGCTAAGAATCAGTTGAAAATTTATGTTCATAGGTGTTTAAATGTTATCAAAAGACCCATTGGGAGACCCATTATCTGTTGGTAATAGTTATTGTTATAGGGGAAATATGAACTATTTAGACATAATTCTATGGCATTAAGAAGTAAAGTTTGTAGAATTTTTCTAACGTTTTTAATTTTTTTTTCTATCTTTTTATAACTGATTTCATGGCTACTTCTTTCTTAACATTCGTAAAATAAAATATATTTTATTGTACCTTCTGAATTAAAAGGAATTTTCAAAAATTACAATATTAATATCTCGTATAAGTACAACCACATTCTTAAATATTCTTTGAAAATATTCATTTTACCATTTTAGAACATCAGCTATTCAATTTTAGCATTAAATTTAATTGAAATGAACGTTTTTAATGACTTTCAGGGAGTGTCCATCACTGGATAAAATATTGGCCCAAATCTAGTTATGGACACCCACCCATGTCCATTACTGATGCTCTGCACTTTTACAAAAATGTATTATGCTTTTTGTAATTTCTGCGTCTAGAAACAATGGAAAATCGCATGGTACTGATTATTTTTCTCAAAAACCTCTATAACCATTTGAAAGGGGTGTCCATCACTGGGTCCGACTATTTCCATTAATTTTACCAGTTTTAATAGAATCTTTTGCTCACATTTGACTGTAAATACACAGTCAAATATTTATAAATTATATAAGTACATGTGGCGTGTGATATAACATTATTTCTTCCAATTCTCTGAGAAATTAAATAAAAAGTTGTCTTTTTGAAAGGTTTTTATTATTCATTTTTCATTTTAAAAAATTGAAAATAAAATTATTCTTCAGATAACAATATCGACTTTTTTTGTAGAAAAAACGTATTTCAGTAATAAAATAAAAAGGATCACTTGGCAATTGAACAAATTTAAAAAGTTCAAAACACCATTTCTCAACACCAAACACCAGTTGTCTGATTTCAATATTTTTTTTTTTTGTTTTTTAGGTAATTTCTTTATCTATCAAATACACACACATTAACCAAAAATTGTGTAATTTTTGGGCAATAAAATTAACTTTTTGTTTTCTTGATCAAATACAATGATTCATATTCATATCATGACACTCCTATATCATTCGCAGAGCGATATATTTTTGTGTCTAAAAATGTAATGGAATTTCTTCCTCCATCTCCATTTTGAATTTTATGTATGGATCCACATTAAAATATTTCAATATATTATTTATGTAGGTGGCGGGAACACATAATATCATGTCATCTACATATTTTGTTATAAATTATACGCCTATAGGAATGGTCGCAAGTATTTCTTCAATTAAATCATCGACTACGAATTCTATGAGTATGGGTGAAATCGAAAGACCCATTGGGAGACCCATTATTTGTTGGTAATAGTTATTGCTAGGGGGAAAATATGAACTATTTAGACATAATTCTATGGCATTAAGAAGTAAAATTTGTAGAATTTTTCTAACGTTTTTAATTTTTTTTTCAATCTTTTTATAACTGATTTCATGGCTACTTCTTTCTTAACATTTGTATAATAAAATATATTTATTGTACCTTCTGAATTAAAAGGAATTTTCAAATATTACAATATTAATATCAAGTATAAGTACAACCACAGTCTTAAAAAAATACTTTTCTCCTGACTAAAAGATCGGACCAGCAGCGAGAGAATGTCAAACATTATTTCCAAAATAAAGTGACCTGATCGTGGCGGTAAATATATCGGACAAACCTCACAGTATCTGAAAAGAAGAATTTATGCTTATAAATATAGCGTTGAAACCAAAAAAGAAGAGACGGCTTTAGCCAGTCATGCAATTAGAAATGAGCATAAAATGGATTTTGATGAGAATAAAATATTAGATACCGAAAAGAATCAACAAGAAAGGCTGATCTTGGAAATGATGCACATAGCAAGAACCAAAAACGTAATTAACATTCGCAATGATCTAGTAAAATTAAATTATGCAAACAATAACATTTTGAAAGCAGCAAAATTTAATGATAGTAAAAATACAATTTAAACGGTGGGAAATATGTTATGCACTTTTGTTATTGTTTTGTAATTTTTATAATTTTGACAAAGTTTTATGTATTGACCTGATGCATATTTTAATTTATTGTTATTTAGTTATAGAGTTTTAGCAATTTAAGGTTAGCTCAACAATATATATTCATTTGTTGTTGATAATGTTACAATTTAAATAATGCTATTGTTTAAATAATGTTAGAATTTGAATACTTTAATTATAACGAATATGTGCATGTTATGATCATTGATGTTTTGTTAGTAAGGGATGCATATTTCTATTGTTTGGTCTGTGTTGAGCTTTTGTTTCAGGGACAGGGGTGCGTGTGGTGGCCCAGTGGCTTGATACACGTACTAGAGGGCGGTACTGAGGCTGTAAGTGTGCCCCTGGCTTGGATTATCGAAGCTCAATAAGAAGGTAGGAACAATTAGAAATTATTAGTTACGGCATATAGGAACTTGTATTTTTGTGCCAATGATGGCTGTTTGTTTTTTCCAGCTCTCAAGATACTGTGTATAGCAAAAGAAGCAATCAAAACATTAACAAATAAAAAGAATAAACTCCAAATTTATGTAGTTTATTAAAATTGTAAATTAAATGACCTAACTCCTGAAAATAATAATTTATATTACAATATATATATATATATATATATATATATATATATATATATATATATATCAACATTTAATGTAAGGGATATGGCCACTTGTAGAAGCATGTTTTCAAGTTCTGTGATCAAGAAAATTCCTGTAAGTATTGTCATGGACAATTAATAAGTTAACCGAAATAACCAATAATAATGAACGGCATGAAATGAAATGACTGTCAAGATATGTAAAATATTTTCTTGTTTTGAAATTAGTTTTTCAATTTACATCTTATATAATGTCTGATGATAAAATTAATTTTTATTTTAGATTGACAAAAAATTGCACATAAAAATTGTTTAAAAAACAAAAACAGGTAAGAACTTTCTTTAATGAAAAAAAATTAAACTAAAACCATGAAAAATATATGACTGAACACAACAAACCATTATATCACCTAATAATATCTTAATACATTCAATGCAACATATCATTTAGAATCTTGAGCCAAAGATTCATTAGCTGATTTTAATTAAATTGTAGACCACTAAATCATTGGAATATTTAACAATTTAAAGTACAATATGGAAAAAATAGATAGAATTACACAGTTACTTACCCATAGTGTTTCGCGTTGATAGTAAAAAGAAAGCTTTATTTGTCCCTTGATAAAGTTGGAAGAACATCCAGGATTACGATCTTTTTTTTGTTCTGTAAAAATAAAATTACTTACTAATTTATTCTTTATTTGAACAAATTTTTGTTAGATTAGATAGATAGAAATTTTTTTTATTTTGTATAGTACAATTACAGAGGTCTGGCTGGTTATTTTACATTTAATTAGTATACCACTAAAATTATACATTAAAAATATACTATATATCAAAGTAATAAAAAAGACAGCAAAGATTTAAAATGAAATATCAATAACAAAGAGAAATAATATATTTACTGTACTGACATAATAAATAATTCAGTAAGATTGCTAGCCCAGAAGCTAATAGAAAATTCTTCTGTGACAACTCTAACTCATAAAGCATTACAAACAATGATCGTTTAAAGCTGCCCTATTCATACAAAATAAAGAATCTTATTTTGAGAACCTCGCTAATAAAATAGAAAATATCGAAAATTATGTAATTGTTAGATAATGAAAGAAAGGTATGCACAACAAAGTTGCAGCAGTAATGGATTTAAATAATTCCAGTAAAGCTTTCCAGGATCTCACTTACAGTCTCACTAAGATCTCCCTCACCTTACCAAAAGTTTTGTACCATACCTCACAAAATGGTCAGGTGCTTGTCTGAACGTTCCTGTACAGTTGAAGGGAATATCAAGGTAAGTAACATTATTAACATATTCAATAGCTTCATTATCTAGTAAGAGTGAAGGTCATTTCTTACATCTGGGACTTGCTCAGAAGAAGACAACTTTGGTTTTACTACATTTTATTTTAAGTTTAGGAGCCCAACAATATTTACCAAAGACAGTTCATTTGCCCTGTGCATCAGTTCTTGAGTTGTCAAATAGTATAAAATCATCAGAAAAAAGGAGGTCAATGGCATAAGTGTTAACAACATTCACTCCATTAAGGAACACCTTCATATACAGGAAATTCCTGTATAAGATCTGACAGGAACAGCGTAAAAACATAAGGTGAGAGGGATTCTCCCTGAAGTACTCCTGTTTGGATGAGGATATCAAATAGAATATTCCTCATGAGGTTATATTAGTTAATATGTTAACTTCTGAGTTAAATTCAACTTGACTATAAAAGTTTTTTTATAATCTTATAAGTTTACTACTTAACCCAATTTATTCAATTTGTTCCACAGAAAGTTATAATCAATGATGTCGAAAACTTTATGCAAGTCAATGGTTTGGTTACATCAATTTGGATAAGACCTAGCTTATATTAAAAACAACTTAATAATACACTGATATACCGAGTTTAATTAAAATCGTTAGAGCTGTTTTAGAGAAAATTGTAAAAATGTATTCTATCGATTATATAAAGTGCCACTTCCGGTTTGCTGATTTAAAAGAAAAAGTTGCTGTAACATCCAAGGCATGTACCTTAAATAAGTAATACCAGTTTCGTAAAACCTTTTGTTTTTAAGCTGTGCTGTTCACACACATACAGACCATTTTGCGGGACTTGGTTATTTGGACTCAGAGGACCTCAAAATGTGTATTTCTGTTGAAAACTCAGATTCAAAAATGTTCACGATCGCAATACTTTCCCTTAGTATATATTACATATATATGTAAGTGAAAGTAAAAACATAAAAAATAATGTCCTAAATAGTAAAAAATTATGTTATTATCAATACCTTATTCAGTAGCTTGAACAAACTTTAATGATTTACCTTTTAATTTGTGTTCATGAATAGAGGATTCTTGTTGGTCCCTTAAGAGTGGATGAAAAAATGTGTAAACTAAATCAGAATGGCAAATTTCATCTGCCATAATGAAAAGCGATTGAAGAAATTTTTTTATATCGTGCATTCTTTTATCAGCAACTTGTTTTATATTTGATCTACCCATATGCAAACTTGAACCAGGAAGACTAAAATAAATTAATATATTAAATTAAAAACATATACACTTTAGTTGTATTTATCATTTAAAACAACAATGAAATGACAAAGTACAATGATAAATTTTGAAAAATAAACAAACCATCCTATTCTAAGATTAAATTTAAAGACTAATATTTAAAAAAGATTAATACCTGTAACATTTCACTAATGGAAAAAGAAGACATAATTTTTGATGAAATTCACAGAACTCCTTATATGACCTAAAGAGGTACGACGGATCTTTTTGACCAACTCTTTCTACTTTTAGAATATACATGTAATATTTTTCTGGATCATAACGTTTTTGATAACCATATACTTCAACACTCTTAAGCCGCCCTTCTTGGTGCATACTGTAAATTGATGATAATTATAGGCATATTAACATTTAAAAAAAAGCAATTTTGTTAATAAAAATAATTAGTGCAACATTAATAATTTGTGAAACTTAGAAAGTAGTTAATAAAGACATGGATGAATTATTTTTAAACGGAGTCCAATAATTCCTAATCCAATTTTTTTAACCCATATCGGTCACTAGATTTTTATACGAGATTCTCACTAGGTTGTAGCTGGTTCCATATATTCGAAAACAATTTCAGTGTTGTAAGAATAATATTTTTGTGTTGTCATGTGAGAGATGACTTTACTACTGATAAGCGTTAATATACTTTAAAGAATGATAGAATTGTCAAACAAAAAGAATAACACATAGTCAAATATACTAGTTCTGTTCAATCAAAATACCTTTGAGTCCACTTCATTCCTTTTATCACTCAGTCTAATTATCAATTACTCCTGGTTATTTATACAATGTAAATTACAACAGGAAATGTGGTTGCAAAAGTCGGAAACAGCCCAGATGCAAGAAGGCATGAATGCTAAGAAGTCAGAGAGAGCGTTCTAGATATTCATTTATTATTCAGTTGATATTCATTAACCAAGTTGATATTTATTGATGTGAATTGATCCGATCTGAAGAAAATGGTATGGAACTTCTGGATTTTGAAAAATTTCGAGAAGTGATCCAATCTCTAAAAAAAGTTGTAAATTACCAGAATCTGAAAGTGTAGGTGCTGAAATGATCCAGCAAGCCAGAGGTATCTTGAATCCATTTATAAATTATATATAATTTAATATTTAAAGTATGGCCACAAAAAGAAACGCCATAAGAATATAGTCTAGCCATAAATACCATTCATAATAAGATAAGTCAAAAAGCGATAATTACAGGAGAATATCTCTTTTAGGAATGTTGTATAAAATATCTGGCATATTCCTTGATCAAAACCTTACTAAGTGGTCACAAAAAAATATTAGAGAATATCAGTGTGGTATCATAGATCAATCAACACTAAATCATATATTCGCCCCAAGACATTGGGACATTATAAAGGCTTATAATAGTGTCAACAGGTAAAAACTGATGAAAGCTTTGGAATCTCTAGATAGATCATCTGATTAGTAAGAATGACATATTCTATCTGTAAGGGACAAATACAAGGGATACTGGCAAAACAATTTCCAATCCAAGATGGACTAAGACAAAGAGGGCAACCATGAAAAATGTGAATAGACGACATCAAGAATATACCCAACACTTCAGGAGTGAAAAGGTGAAGACAAGTCCCATACAGACCAGAGTAGCAAAATAACTAAATATAAACATTATAAAATAACTTGTAGACAATAAATATTAAATAGTAAACAAACTCTTAGAATAAAAATAAAGAACTTTGCATAAGTCTAAACATTTATAATAAATGTTAAACCTACAAAATATATAAATAGCTGAAAGATTGTTAACAAAAGGGGAGAAAGAACCAACAATTATTATACTAACTTGACATGAATGTTACCTGTATCTTTTTGGGACAAAACTTAATAATTCATCATCATTATGGTCACCAGTGAAGCGTAACTGGGCAAGATTATGAAGGAAAAAATTTATTTGTGTAAACCATGATTTTAAGGAGCTTTGAATCATCCTTGCAAACGTAGCAGCAGCCTCTGCATTTGACAGTTCAGGAAGTAATGCATCTTGAACATAACGAACTGAATCTACTGTTAAACCTGAAGCTCCTGAAGAAGCCATCTATGAGAAATAAAAAACAATATTTATTTAAGAAGACAAGTTGTTAAAATCTATACTTGTCTATGATCTCCATAAATTAACCACAATCATAAACATAAAGTTAATCACAATTAAATTCAATATTGATAATACACACACACACATACATATATATGTGTTGTTCAACACGTAACTGAATATTTATTTCGAAATATTGGAAATTCATTTTTTTTCATTTCAACTTGTATTTTATGTTTGCATTTTTTTAAAAATTTATGAATGTAATATTTTATTTTTAAAATATCTTTTATCCTCGACCCTTTTCTCCAAAAATTCTACTTCCCAACTCTACAGTTATGACTAATATCCTGTAATTCTGTCATATCAATGCACAATCCCTTATTGCACACTATGATGAATTCCAGAAATATTTTATGGACAATTTTTACCAAATAATAGCAGTATCTGAAACGTGGCTAAAACTTTTTATCCTTTCCTCTTAGATTTCTCTACCTGATTACTCGTTCCTAGTTATGATAAATCTCATCACACGGGAGGTGGTGTTGGATTATATATCTATGACAATCTTAAGGCCAAAATCCTCCTACAGTCTCCTCATGATTTTCCTCACATAGAATACATGTTTGTTGAAATTTCCTCTATTTTCTCTCCTTTGTTATTTGTATGCTGTAGTTCACCGCCCTCCTCGTGTTCCATTCGACAACCTCTTTGAATCCTCCCTTGTTAGCCTGGTATCCATTTACTCCAACATTATCATCACCGGTGATTTTAACGTGCTTTATGCTTTCACAAGCTTCTGAAAAATACTTCCTTACTGACCTGCTCTTTTCTCTTAACCTTTATCTTATCCCTTATTCTTCTACCCATCACACGAAATTTTCTGACACTTGGTTAGACCTCTATATCTCTGACTGTCCCATCAAAATACTTTCCTCTTCCCAACATCCCGTTCTATTTCTTTCATCACATGACCTGATACAAATTATATACGACCTACCAGTGAAATCCTTCACTCCCAAAATAGTTTCATATCACAATTTAAACCTTCTCTCCTATGAATCCCTTCAACATGGCCTTAATTCTTTCCAATGGGATACCATATATTCCTAGAACTTCATTGATCACATGGTATCCACCCTGACCTCAAACCTACAATCAATATTAGACATCCATACTCCTCTGAAAACCAGAACCTTACGTCGCCCCACAGTACCTTGGCTGACAAGCGAAATAAAGAAAATGTTAATAAGAAGAGATGTAGCAAGGCGCAAATACCGTCGAACCCGTTTGCCTGTGGATTATGCTTTTTTCAAGGAACTTTGCAATGGAACCCAATCCACTGTTTGACTTGCTAAAGCCAGCTACTTCCATAATGCTCTTGAATCCAAATCAAAATGGGAAATACTCTGTAATTTATTTCTACCAGAATCCAATAATCTCAATTACTTCTCTGTGTCTCTAGATGATTTCAATAACCATTCTGATCCTTCACTAATAATTCTTCTTCTACTTCTGATATTAAACATTACCATTTCAATCCTGAAGGCTTCTTTTTCTCCCAAGTGTCCTACGATGAACTACTTTCCACTATCTTAAAATTCTGCACTAATGCTTATGGTGTTTACAATATTCCAGTAAAATTAATAAAATCCAGCTTCCCTATAATTATTCCTGTGCTTTACGATATCTACAACTTTTCATAGCAAAACTCTATATTCTCATGTTCCTGGAAAACTGCCCTAGTCTAACCTTTGAATAAAGCTTCTAACCCTTCCTCACTGTACGACTTTCGTACTATTACCCTTCTTTCCAACCTTTCAAAACCATTGGAACGCCTTGTTCAAAATTAATTTTTCAACTTCCTAGAGAAACGTTCCCTCATCAAGCCATTCCAATCTGGCTTTCGACCTGGTTACTCAACACAATCCGCCCTTATTAAAATAACCCATGACCTCCAAAGCTCCATTGAACATCATCCTAAACTAAACCTTACTATCCTTATCCTTCAAGATTTTTTCAAAGCGTTCGACACAGTTGACCATAACATCCTCCTTACTAAATTGCAAAATCTTCCTCTATCTAATAGTGCCCTGCATTGGTTCAAATCCTTTCTTTCAGACCGATCTCAGTATGTACTTGTCCCAGGTCAAGCTCCTTCTAAGACACTTCCTCTCTCCTGTGGTGTCCCTCAAGGTTCCTCTCTATCCCCTATTCTGTTTGCTATTTACAATAATGATCTTCCTCTCCTGATCAATCACTCCCAATACCACATCTATGATGGAAATTTCCAAGTATACCTGTCTTTCCCGTCTTTGACCTATTACTAGCTACCAAAAAACTTCAAGAAGATTTAAATAGAGTTTGTGGCTGGATAGGAGCTAACAAGTTGAAGCTGAATGCGGAGAAGACGAAGGCAATCCTAGTACGCTCCAATCACCTGCTTAAAACTGTT